TACTCCTACGACTTACTCCTTGTCTCCACTCCCCCACTCCCCAGTGAGAATGGAGGTGGGGGACCCCCAAGGTGGAGGAAGAGGGATTAGGGTAGAAATAAGGGGCACATCCTTTTGGGGGGCAGGGTATGTTCTAGGACAAGGGTGGGGCTCAAAGTCCTGGTCCCCACAACTACGCAAACACAGACTTCAGGTACAGACTACAACCACCTGACCCTCGACCCAGCGACTCCAGGATGCTCAACAAGTCCCCTCTCCCTCCCTCCCCCCCCACCACTTGCACCCTACTCGGGAGCTGGGGCTTCAGTGTACCCATCTGAAGGGAAGGAAGGGCTGAGTTCCGGTGATACTTTAGGGAGGAGGGGCTGAGGAGTAGAAAGGGGTGGCCCATGGTGCGAGGCGGTTCCCTCTCCAGAATATATACAAGTCCATAGAGATAGGAAGACAGTAAGTGTGTTGGGAGATCACCTACGGGCCACAGCGCCCCTGGCTAGTGATCCCTAATCCCTCTTCCCGGAAAGCTACCCCCAGTAGCTCGCCTCTTCAGTTTGCTCCTCCGCCCCCACTGAAGCCCATCTCCACCTTGTGTACGCTGGGCGGGGACCAGACCCGTCGACTGGACGGGGGCGTGGCCCCACTCGCCTCGTCGCCGCTGCCCCCGCCGCCGGGGGACTCTCTCTTGGGCTGCAAGGCTGGCCCGGTGGTCCCCCCGGGTCCGGGTCCGGCCCCGCCCCCGCCGCCTAGGCGGTGCCGGCGCTCACAATGTCCCCGATGGCGCATGAAACTGTCTCGCCACATGAACTTCTTGGCGCAGACGCCGCACTCGTAGGGCTTGAGGCCTGTGTGTGTCTTCATGTGCTCTGTCAGGTGATGCTTCATCTTGAACTTTTTGTTGCACACGGGGCAATCAAAGGGCCGCAGGTTGAGGTGCATGTTCACATGGCGATCTCGCATGCTCTTGTGGGAGAAGGCCTTTCCGCAGTGGCACAGAAAGATCTTATTTCCATCCCCACTGCCTGTCCCTCCAGGAGTCCCGCCGGTGCCACCCGGCATGCCCAGGGCCCCTGCCGATGTGCTCCCCAGGGTCACTGCCCCATGTTCAGCTTGGTTCCCTGGTGGCTGGCCTGGAGCCTGTGAGGAGGAGGAGGAGGATGAAGAGGATGGGAAGACCAGGATCTGGTTGCCTTGCATGTCCAGTGGAAGCAGGGGCCTCGAAGGATGGGAGGGAGCATAGGAGGAAGGGGTTGGTCCCCCTGAATCATCAAGCCCTGCCCCAGGACCCCCACCTTCATAGGGGCCAAAGTCATTGGAGGACTCACAGAAATTGACCTGCTCCTCTCCCTTGTCTGGAGGCTCAGACAGGGTCCGGACATCACTTATGCTAAGGGTAGCCTCAGATCCTCCCCCTGGTGGCACCCCGGAGCCACCCCCCAGCTCTTCATCTTCATCATCCTCACAGGTCAACACCAAGTCTTCCTCCTCCTCATCCTCTTCCAGGTCTGGGTCTTGGGGAACGAGGGGCGCTGGTGCTGGGCAGTTTCCACCCCGTTTCACATATACCCAGTGTTTCTGCGGCACAATGCTGGGGGGTGCGTAGGTGGGCCGGCGGAGCCCAGCCCCAGGGACCACTGCACCCCTCCCATCCCCACCGTCATCACACAGCTCATCTGCCTCCAGCAGCAGCTTCCCAGAGGTAGCCCCCCCACTGCCAACCACAGGGGCGGGGAATACAGGGCCACCTCCTTGACGCTCCCTACTGCCCACTGCAGAAGCTGCAAAAGCCTCCTGGGAGGAAGATGAGAAATCAGTGGACTCCCGAGGGCTGAAATAGTTGCTGCTGCTGGGGGACTGATTCTCACTGGCCCGGCTGGAGGCATGGAAGCGTACGGATCCCACAGTGGCAGGGGCCACGGTGCCCCCACTCCCTGAGGTGACCCCAGCACCAGGGACAGTGACCGATGTGGCTGCAGCAGTGGTGATGGTGGTGGTGGTGGCTGAGGCCCGGCCCTCTCGGAGGAGTTCAGTGCACTTATCCACGATGTGCCACATTTGGAGCACAGACCCCACTGTGAGGAAGTTGACAATGTCAGCAGCGGCCATGCTGAGGCGACCAGTATAAGCTGAAGCCAAGACAGTCTCGAAGGCGCCTGGGTCCATGACGCTAGGCAGCGAGATGGAGGTCATGCCCTTGAGTAGGACCTGGTCGTGGAAGTAAGGGGAAGAGGCAGCCAGGACAGCACGATGAGCCCTGAACTCCCGTCCCTGCACTCGGATGGACACATCACAGAGCTGGCCCTGCAGCCGCTGCTGATTGAGAGACTCCAAGAGGGCACTGGTCACCTCGGGGAAGGACACGTGCACTACTGCCGCTGCAGGCAGGGGCAGTGGTGGTGGGGCCAGCGATAGAGGCAGGGGGAGTGCTGCCCCGCTGGGAGACAGGGGAGATGGCTCCATGGTGTGGAGGGAAGGGGTACCCCCCCAGCCACAGGAACAAGGGAAGGAGGAGGGCGGCCGGGGGGGTCTCTGGAAAGAAAGAGAGAAGAATGATAACAACCCATAATGACACAGCCCTTTACAGTTTAAAAACATGTTCACACATTATCTGAGTAACTCCCCACAGTGACACTATAAGGTAGGTATTCCTTTCAACTCCATTTGACAGATGAGGAAACTGAGGCTCAGAAAGATTAAGAGATTATCCAAGGTTACACCATTAAGTGGCAGCACCCACAAATGCAGGTGTCCTAACTCCAAATCCAGTGATCTTTCCTCGGACGTTACAGAAATAAGGTGCTCTTGGGGAGTGGGGTGCCTCCCCTCAGAAATTCCCATTTGCCTGAGAACCTGACTTTCCAAAATTTACCTTTCTGGGGTTTTGTACCCTTTTCTTGGGAGGGGGGCAGGTTGGCTCTGGTGTTGAAAACCACCCCTCTCTCCACTTCCCTTTAGGCCGTGCCCCCCCACCCCACGGCTCTCTCGCAGGCCACGCACCTTGCCCCCAGTTATCCCCAACCCCGCCCATTTAGGCCCCGCCCACCTCAAGACCCGCCCATGGCTTTTGGGCTCCGCCCCTTATCTACCCCCGCCCACATCGGACCCCGCCCCCTTCTGCTCCGCCCCAAGCGCTACTTCGACCTCCTCTCCCACCCGGAAGGCGCCCCCCAACCCCGCGCGTCCCCGCTTACCGGGCCGCGCGCCCCCGGGCCCCCCCGCCCCTCACTCGGCGGCCAGAGCCGCAGCCTGGGCCCCTCCCGCCGCCATCTTGCGCCGACTCCCTCCGCCCTCCGCCTCCGCTCCGCCTCCCGCCCCTCAGGCTTTAAAGGCACAGGCGGGAACCCCGCCCGACCCGCTGGGCAATACTCGGCCGACTCGGCCACTTCTCCTTTAAAGAACAGCTTCTTCCTTCCACCTTAAGGGTACCAGGTCTCTTTCCGCCGCTGAGGACGCAGGACTCGGTTCGGCCGAAGTTCTCATTCCCCTTTAATTCGGTAAGCCTGCCTCTTCCCATTGGCGATGGGTCTAGGCCGTCGCTGCCTGGGCTCCGCCCCTGAGCTGTGGCCATTAGCGGGTTTGCGGGATCTAATCGCCCCGGTCTCCCAGCTTCTGACAGTCCCCCTGAAACCCCGCCCCCTACCTCCGGGCCTGGATTGGCTAAATAACCTTGAGTCGGCCCGTGATTGGCCTTTTTACTGCTACCGCTCGAAGTGAGAAAGTAAAGCGCGTTCAGGAGGCTGAAGTACATTTTTTCAGCGCCTGGCAGACAGCAAGGAGAAGGCCTGAGGGCGAGAAAAACTCCGCGAGAGGCGTGCTGAAGGCAGCTGGAAAGGGCAGATCCAGGGCTATCCCGGGGGAACGGCTAACCCTGAGCCAGAGAACAGCTCATGCCAATCACCAGCTGGTGAGAGCAGGACAAGGAAAAGACAGGAATACAATAAGAAAAGAACTTTATTGTTTATTAATGTTTCTGTGTAAAACTTAAGCTTTTTTTTTTTTTTTAAAGAAACCACCAAAAGGCGATTAGCTCAGTCCATCCCTTCCTCAGTCGTCTGGTTCCCACCGTCCTCCAAATACTATCCCAAAACATTTTGGAGGCAGGGAGGAGGGGGAGGCAGTTAATCAGAGTCTGAGAGCACGATGATCTCCTCTGGATCGCACTGTGTGGCCACACTCATCTGCAGGGGAGTGAGAGACAGAGTCAGAGAGGTCTGGAACACAGCGGACGAGAAGCCAAGGGAAGGACTTATCAGAGATCAAAAACTGGGGTGGGAAGAGAGAGGAGGTGATGAGTGCAGCAGACAGAATACCCCAAACTGAACAATGAAAGAGAATGAAGTCAGGAAACACAGCCTCCCCCTCTTACCTTAAAAGTACCAGGTCTGGAGGGTTGTGATTGTGGGGTGTCGAACAACCGGGCTGGAAATGGGCTACAGAGGGAGCTGGTCACCAGGCCGTGGCTAGGAGAATCCACCCTTGTGGAGGAATCGGCAACTGGAGCCATGGAAGCCAAGGGGGAAGGCGGGCTGGGCAGAGTATGTGTCTTCTCATGCACTGCCCTTTGCCTTTCCACATAGCTAGAAACAGAAACATATGTGGGTGGAAGGGTATGTGGAGACTGAGGATGGAGGGGGAGCTCCAGTTTCTCCTCGCAGACTCCGTTCCACAGTATTCCTCTCAGAAAGCCCCCGCAGTCCCTCCTTGGCTTCCCTCTTTCTCCTCCTTATTGCTGTTACCTCTTTCCTAATGGCCCGGCTTCTGTTTGCTTCTCCTTCCGAGATTTCTTGTGGGGAGGACTGGAATCTCCCCAGGTGTGAGGAGAGACGCCTCCGTTGAAGGAAGTGGAGGTGACCATGGCTGCTCCATTCTCCAAGACAGTGGTGAGAGGGTCTTCTGATTGCTTCCTGGAAGAGGAAACGTCCCTCTCCTCAGGGGAAGGAGTAGTATCCAGGGGCAAGGCTTCAATCTCTAGCTCAAAGAGCTGAGACATAGGGCTCTCCTCCTCCAGGGGCAACTCCTCGAGGTGCTCTCCACTGCTTTCAGCAACTACGCTGGAGGGGGCCGGGGGCTCTTCTGCCAGTGAAGATGGTGACACTGTGAGTCCTTTGTTTTGCTGCTCCCCCAACGACCCGCTGATCCCTTTGCGAGGTTCCAGGTTCTTTTCAGTGGAGATCTGTAGTGGGGACATGGGGCTCTTATCTCCATCCTTCCCTGGAAAAGAAGAAAAGAGGAGAGGGGTAGCAAAAGAACTAGGGGAAAGAAAACTGCTGGGAGGACACTAGGAGTAAGAGGAAGAAGGGAAGGATCTCAAACAGGGGGCTCATGCCCAACAGAGTAGAGGGAACCGACAAGAATACTGTTTCCTTGACATACCTGCTTCCTCGTCCTCCTCCTCCTCCTCCTCCTCCTCTTCATCGTCCCCCTGACCTTCCTGCATCTGTTCCAGATCCTCCTCTTCTTCGGAATCTGTGGCCTCCTCGTCTTCCTCCTCATCTTCCTCTCCCTCCTCTTCCTCCTCCTCCTCATCACTTTCCTCATCTTCATCATCGGTCTCAGCCTTGGAGGTGGTAGGGCACTCCTGGGATGCCATCCCACTAGGGCCCTGCAGGGGACAAAGGAGTTTCTCTATGGAATCCCTTGCCCCAGAGGGGCTGCTTCTTGCATTCCTTCCGCACACGCCATGATCAGTCACCACGTACTCCCTCCTGGCCAGTGCAGTGGAAGGACGAGGTCTCTCTGAAGGGTGTATTCCCTTCCATACCTCACCAGAATCCAAGGAGGCTTTGGAGGGGTCTGCAGAGTGGGAAGAGGTGGCTTGGGGGAGCCGCGCTCTTCTCTTCTGTCTCTCACCCTCCTCGCTCTTGTCTTGCATCATTGCATACTTGGAGATGACCTCATCCAGCCGGCTCATAGCCAAGCTCCGGTTCTCCCGCAGGCGCCGAGCCAGGGCAGGATCTGACAGTGCGGGATCAATGCCTATGTGGGAAGATATAAAGTCAGTGTACTCACCCAGAACCCTAGAAGAAGGGACTAGAGAGACACCCCCTCCACCACACACCTGACGAATGAGGATTACCAAGGAGCATCTCACTAATGCCTACCTGGCCTATAGTCATCTGTGAGGTGACAGCCAAAGTTGTAGATGAGATCAAGGTGGCGACGCTCCTGTAACCTGATGCCCACATCTCGGAAGGCATCCTGAGCCATGAGCTGGAGCTGCTGTCGGGGGAGGCCAAGGCTGTGCCGAGCAGCTGCCTTCTCTACAGCCCGCAGTACGTCTCCATAGTCAGGGAAGGTATCAGGCCCTGGCTTGTTGATGAGCCGCTCAATGCGCCTGTTGACCTCTGGGTAGCGGGTACCACGGTAGGGGATGCGCTGCTCTATGACCCGGCCTGTCAGTGAAGAGCAGTCTTTCAGCTCACACAGCCGCCCAAAGAGGCGGATCAGCTTACGCTTCAACCTCGCCTCCTGCAGGTAAGTGGAGTCTGGGTCATCCAATTCTGAGAGATCCAACTCCTTTTCCTGCAGCCGCCGGATCTCTGCCACGTAGAGTGCCAGCAGCTGCTCCAAGCGCTGGATCTGCCGCCGGGAACCATGGGTCCTTGGGGCCTCAGAGGCAGTGGTCTCAGCACTTGTGGGGTCCAAGGAGGGGTCTGCGGGAGGGTTATTCCCAGAGGGCTCACTAGAGGTGGTGGCAGCAGGGGCCAGGTTCAGCTTCTTCTTGGCTGAGTGGGCCTTGAGAACAGTGCAGAGCTCATTAATGTAGACATAGAGCTTAGCTGGCCGGCTCTGGGCCCGAGAGAGGACCCGAGAGAGGATGTTGCAGAACTCCGCCGAGGCCAAAAACAGAGAGTGGGCCCGCTGCTGCCGGTTATAGAGGAACGGGACCACCTCAGGGTGGTCCGCCGTCTGCGTCTTACACAGTTCAAGGAACTGGAAGGTTCAGGAGAAAAAGGGAGGGGGAAAGAGACAAGGGATGGGATTGAGAGAAAGAAGGTGAGGTGGGGTTAGTGGGGAAGAAAGGACAGGAGAGCCAGTCAGCCATCCCCCTCCCTGGGGTACGAGAATCTTCTCCCCTAAAGCTCACCTCTTCAAACAGCTTCTCATTCTCCAACTTGTAGCATTTCTTGCCGCCCGAACTACTGCTTCCTCCAGCCCCATGGGGCTGAGAGGAGCCAGGGGCTTCTGCCCTGGGTGAGGCCGGATTGGGGGGTGGGTGGGAGGGCCCTGGCAGAGCAGCTGCTTCATCTTCATCATCATCATCCAGCACGATGATGCTGTTAGCGGTGGCCATGGGGGATCAAATCCCCCGGAGGGAGGAAGTGTTGGGGATTTCGTAATTCCTGCTGGAAGGGGATGGGGCCTCAGACAGAGCCCCTCCAGCATAGCCCCATCCCTTCATCTCACACATTTTTCAGTCTTCTTGGGTTTCAAAACACCCAGCCATGCCCAACAGTGTCCTCACTGCCTATCTTCAGCAACCATTAGTACCATATGTTTTTTGGGCCCTTTACTATGCGAGCCCCAAACCATCAGAAAACCTTAAGTCCCACCCCCAGCTCCACCCCTCACGTCGATATCCGGTCTTTCAGTTGCATTTCCCCACTATTTCTCATAGTTGGCAAGTTGATTCTTCCTCTCAACCCCTGGACGACCTCTCACATTGCACTCCAGATTTCCTTGACATCCCCTCGAACAGATACCACACCCCCGCTGGCACCACCTCAGGTGTTTTCCCCTTTCGTTCTCACACACATCAAATCCACACCCTCACTCCATCCTGAAGGTTCACCCCAACTCCGAGACTCTCTGAGGCGAAGAAGGTTCCCTCCCAACAATCCATCCCCCTTTCTCCTACTTAAATTATCTCCATATTCCACCCTCTGATGGCTCTCCTCAAACCGGGGCGTTAGGTTGGAGATATTTCACCTCAAGTCCCCCTCCCTCTCACCCCACCCTAATTTTCCCCATTCTCTTTCTGGGACCTGTAACCGATAGTGAGCCCCACACTGGGCTCTCCTGCTTCCACTCAGATTCCATCCCTGAGTCCGGTCCTTCCCCTAGATGAGCTTCCCGCCAAGTACCCCTCCCCCAGTTCAGCCCCCGGCCGCCCCACTCCCCTTCAGGGATAGGAAGGAAGGTACCACAGCTTGCCCCTCAGACTCAGCGCCCGGAACCCCCCAGTACCTGTCCCTCGACATTCCCGCCCCCGCCTTCCCTCCCCGCACCGTCCGGCCCCCACCTCAGAAACAGTCTCTCGAGAAGACCCTCGCCGCTGATCTCAGAACCTCGCATGGTTCCCTCCGTCTTCCTTCCCCCTCCCACCGCAGGCCCTACTCCGGACCGGAAGCCGCGGAGTTTCCGGCTACAGGCATCTAGGTGCGGCCATATTGTCGTACGGAATCCAGTCCCCCCCGCCCCCGGTGGCCGGAAGTGACGGTGGACCCGCCCCGCGAGGGCTTCTAATGCCGCCCACATAGTCTGCGGCTCCCTTCCCCCTGACCTGCAGGGGACGAAATTGTCCCATCCGGGCGTCCCAAATGCTTGGAGGACGCCATTTTGCCGTACGGCGCTGGCTACGCCCGGATTGGGGCGCGCCGCCAGTGGAGCTCTTTTCACCCGGTGCTTCTGCCACTCCGCCAATCAGAAACTTCCCGCATCCTGGCCCAGCTGCCGGCGAGTCGCGTGCCGGGAGGACTGAGCCACCTGTCCAAGCAGGGGAGGGGGGAACGGAACAGGGCAGCTGAGGAATCAGCCCTCCAAGGCTGCACAAGGGTGCACGGAAGGGCGGGAATCTCTTAAGAGGGAAATAAAACCTTTTCCATCCACTGGGCTATTGACAAGCCTTCTGGCGCTGCTTTCCTACCTGCCAGGTACCAGTTTCCACGGCTTAATCGAATGTGCCTGTCATTCCTTTCTATGGGCTGTGCGCTCCCTTGTCGCTGTCCAGAAGCTATTTCTACATCCAGTTGCCTACATCTCCCAATCTTGAAGTCATAACACATGCATACAAATGAGCACAACACGCTGTACAAATGTGTTATTATTACTGCTATTGTTGTTGGTTTGCTTTTCAAGCTCCACCACAGAACTAATGACCAACCAAGTAGGTGGGACCTGGGTGGTTCTCCTTCCTTTTCTGGAGGGGATTCCCGAGGCGCAGGCGCTGATGACCAGGAGGCCGTGCTTTGTCCAGGGGCTCCAGGGCCTGAGGACGGGCGATGTGGGGAGGGGGTTCTGAGAAGAATCTGTGCCAATTGCCGCTGTGAGGGCTGTGAGACGAAATGAGGCTCGTAAAATACCTCGAGTCTCTCTCGTCCTCTTCCTCTGAGAGAGCTGATGAAAGAAGGAAGAGAGAAGAAAACGACTTTGACGCCCGCCTCGCCCGCCCCCCCCCCCCCAACCCAGCTTTAGGGAAGCTGGAGGGACTCGTGGAGGCAGAGCTGGGTCCAAAGGTGAGCTTCTGGGGAAACCGGAAATGTTAATACGGTTCCAACTGCTGAGTTTCCCACCTCCTGCATCCTTGCGAATTCCACAGATGGTGAGCATCTTGCCACTTTCTGGGACCACAGACCCTTACATCCCCAAGCCCTCAGAGTCCCAGAACCTCAAACTCTCCCTTCCATTAAAGAATCCCACACCACTTCTCTCCAGTCATCTAAGTCTTCAAATTGGGGGACATGAAGACTTGCCCAAGGGTACTCGGATTTGGGAGATATAAGGGACTTAATTTCCAGATTCTCAATTTTCCCAAAATTTGTTTTCCTCAGTAAATTCCTGCAGTAGAGCTTCTCCTTCTTCCTTTTCTCTTTTACAATAGACTTTCTCCCTCTTAAAAAAAAAAAAAAAAAAGGATACTGTAGTTCTCAATCATGAAATCTCAGGATGTTACCTTGTTTTTTGTTGTTTGTTTTTTGGTTTTGTTTGTTTGTGTTTGTTTTTGTTTTGACCACTGGACGGCCAGGGAATTCCCTTACTTTGTCTTAAATAAAGAGACATGTAACCTGTTTCTTCAAGGCACCATGAGCACCACCTCGTCTATCTCACTTAAAATGTACTTTTAGGTAGTTCCCTGGCAGTCCAGTGGTTAGGACTCTGTGTTGCCAAGCAGGGTGCTGGGGTTTGATCCCTGGTCAGGGAACTAAGATCCTGCAAGCTGAAACAGAAAAAAAATGTACCTTTAATATTAACAATTATGAAAATGTGTACAATCTTTATGCTATTTAATCAGTTCTGCTCACATAATAATTGTAATGATAACCCAGAAGAAATTTTTCTAAAAAACTAGAGTCTTATGGTCACAAGAAAGAAAAATATTTTTCATCTCAATTAATATATATGTTTATGTAGGAAAGAGTGATAGATTGGTCAATAAAAGACTTTCAAGTATAAAAGGATAAAATTGTCTGTGGAGAAGTAGAATGGTAATAGAAGTTCTAGGAGAAAAGAGAATGATGGAAGAAGAAAAGGAAGGATTCCCAATTATATTTTTAAACGAGTGGTGGTGAATATCAAGTCACTCTGATATTTCAACTCCCCTGGACACACAAAAGATTGATTTAATTGTTTTATTTTAAAATGTGAATATTTTTTATATGCCAGGAATTACATCCTTGAAACAATGTTAATGTATGATGAAAAGTTTTAGGTGCTTACTTAAAAATACCTGAGGATTATAAACTTTTTCAAAATTAATTCCCGGAGTATAGGTGCAGAAATTTTAAGATAGCTGCTCTCAGCTCTCCAAGTGTCCCTCCAAAGCCCCCATTTCCCCCTTTCTCCCCTCTCACCTCTGTGGCAGGGAAAGAGGACGTTTATAGGAAAGGCGGTCACAGTTCCAGCTCCTCCTCCATCTGAGGTGTTCTCAGGAGCCAGTCCCCAAACTTTGCCCATGGTAACAGCCATAGCAGCTTATAAACAGCCTCCAGCGTCAGTAGTGTCAGGGTGAGGACCAGGAAGATAAAGAAGGCCTTGTCCATGGCCTGCCGCAGGGGACCCCTGGGAGGAGAGGGCCTCCGGGCAAACGCCAGGAACACGTCCTCCTCGTCCACATCACCCTCCTCCTCAGCCATCTTAACCCACTGTGTGACAGCTGGCTGGAGCACGGAGGCTGGGATGGAAGCCCTTACTCAGCCTGGCCAGGATTAAGGGACGTGGTGTTGGCAAGTCCTGCACCTGCGGAGCTTGACCCTAATTCCCCCAACCAAGAGAAAGAAAGGAGAGGAGGGCCTCTGAGCCTTTGGAACAGTCAGTGCAATGTGAATGGTCTGGATTAAACAATTCCTAAAGTCTGTCCAGCTTTACCGTTTTATAATTCTGTGTTTCGGAAGCTGAAGGCCCAACAGAGACATGCCAGCTGGAGCTGACCAAGTCATTCTGGGCCTCTAAGCTTAAGGCTCAAGGTCTTGGGCCCCTACAGACAGAGGGAGCAAGTGGACCTAGTATGCTAGTCAAGCACCTAAGGCCCTTTTCAGCTTTACATTGGGTGGTTGGGGGGGCGGGTGGGACACGCCTAACCTAGGTGGGGGGAGGGGGGAGAGCGAGCAGCGGTGGCTACAGTCCACGCAGGCTCGTAGTTCTTCCCCAGGTCTGTGGGGCCCCGAGGTTGCGGCGCTGAAACCCCGCACTCTTGCTTCGTGACTTTGAAGACGATTATATCAATCATTGGACTGCAGGAGCCAGGGCGGAGGTTTATAAAAAGAGAAAGAACATGATTGGCCAGCGGTGCGAAGGAGAATGATTGGGACTTAACTATTGGGGCAATAATAAGGAAGAGCGAGCTTGTGCGTGAGGGGCGTGGCCTGAGAGTTGGTGGGAAATGTCCAAGAGGCTGTATTGTGGCACGGGTTGAAGGCCTTTTCTGGACCGTGTTCCCCAGGCACTGGCCTGAAAGTTCGTGAGGGAAATCGAAGTCCATATGGAGACCGGCCCACACCCGCCCCGTAGGTGGTGGTTGGGGGGTGGAGTGTGGACAGCGGAGGAAAGGGTCCATAGTGAACCTCATATCTGGAGCCTCTATGGTCTCTTACCTAATCTGGAGCCTCTATGGTCTCTTACCTAAACTCCAGTTTGATCTTAATAAGAAGACATTGTTTTCTTGGGAAGAACTTGTTTACCCAAAATGGTACAAAGGATGTCACAGGTTTTTTTTTGTTGTTGTTTTTAAAATATTTGTTTATTTATTTTGACTGCGCTGGGTTGTAGTCGTGGCATGCTGACTTCGTTGAGGCATACATGTGGGATCTAGTTCCCGACCAGGGATCGTACAGTGTCCCCTGCATTGGGAGCGTGGAGCCTTACCCACTGGACCACCAGGGAAGTCACAGTTTTGTTTAGAGTCAACTCGTGTCATCGTTTGCTACCGCCACAGGAGGTCATTACAAGTCAAAAAAAAAACTGGATCAGGGTCCAAACTAATCATTTATTAGTTGTGTTAATTAAACAAGGAGGCCATCAGACTGAGTGGCTCTAATGTCATGGCGGCCTACTTAAGCAAGCCAAAATCTAAACCTGTAAATGCCTCAAGGTCATGTAATCAAGATGCCAAGGGAGGGAATTCCCTGGCAGTCCAGTGGTTAGGACTCAGCACTTCCACTCCAGGGGGCACAGGTTCGATCCCTGTTTGGGGAACTAAGATCCTGCATGCTGGGAGGCACAGGCAACACAAAAACAAAATCAAAACATCAAAACGAAACAAAAAAACACTAAAGGACAACCAATCACACACAGCCAACTAGGCTAAGCTATAGCCAATCAAATAATTTCCTTTCTCTGTTTCCACACTTTCTCCATTTAAGTTTTTCCTCTGGCTGAGGTCTGAGGAGCGCTCATAACCACTTCTGGTTTGGTGCGGGCCCATTTGAATGCATTTTTTGCTCAAACTTAAAATTTTAACATGCCTCAGTTTACCTTTAACAGTTGTATGATGGAGACCTTGGGCCAGTCAGCTGACCTTTCTTTAGTTTTTCTTTAAAATTGAAAAAGTCTTGCCTCACAAAGTTGTCAGGAGGGACAAACGAAATAAGATTTTTTTTTTGTAAATTATGAAGTGCTGTGTAAACATAATGTATTAATTTCTGATACCCTCACTATGTCTCAGGCAAGTTTGCAATAAGGCCACCCAAACACCTTTATCATCTCCTTATAGTTCCTTCCCCATGATAGGTTCAGCACTAAGATCTTGTGTAATACATAAACTCAGCACTTTATTGAATTTAAAAATTTTTTTGAAGTAATTTCAAACTTACAGAAAACACTTAAGAACAGTATCGGGAACTCTGGTATCCTTTTCACCCTGATTCCCCATTTGTCAACATTTGGTTATATTTGCTTATTTCTCTCAACCCCAATATAACCATCTATTATGGGTTGAATTGTGTCCCTTCAAAATTCAGATAGTGAAGCCCTAACTCCCAGTACCTCAGAATATGACCTTATTTGGAAATAGGGTTGTTGCAGATGTAATTGGTTAAAATAAAATGAGGTCATACTGCAGTAGGGTGGACCCTTAATCCAATATGACTGATGTCCTTATAAAAAGGGGAAATTTGGACACAGACATGTCCAGACCAGAACATCACGTCCAGACCAGCATATGTCAAGACCAGAATGTCATGTGAATGTGAAGGCAGAGATAGGGTTGATGTGTCTACAAGCCAAGGAACGCCAAAGATTGCCAGCAAACCACCAGAATCTAGGGGAGAGGCATGGAAGAGACTTCTGTCACAGCCCTCAGAGAGAACCAACCCTGCTGACTCTTTGATTTCTGACTTCTAGCTTTCAGAACTGTAAGAAAATAAATTTCTACTGTTTAAGCCACCCCGTTTGTGGTACTTTGTTATGGCAGCCCTAGCAAACAAATACACCATCCTAATCAGGAAGTCAACACCACTATCTAATTATAGGTACAATTCAGAGTTCATCAGCTGTCCCACTAATGCCTCTGTCCTTTTTGGTCCAGGGTCACAAATCGCATTTGGTAGTCACATATCTGCAGACTCCTTCAATGTGGGCAGTTCTTCTGTCTTTCTCTTTCATGAATTAGTTTTAAAGAGTACAGGCTTTTCATTTCTGTACAATCTCTCCAACCTAAGTACATGTTGGGGCAAGAGAGAAATGATGCGGCCTTTGTGTATCACATCAGAAGTTGCTGGAGGCAAAACCATCTCACTTCTGATGCTGCCAAACCAGTCTGGCAGGTTCTCCACCTTAAAGTCCTAACTGTCCCTTTGTAATTCCTAAGTATCTGACACATCACCAAATCTCCACCTACCTGCCTTAGCATCCCTTTATGACTCTCATCGGAATAAGCATGACGATGTTTATTTTTATTTTTTAAATTTATTTATTTATTTATTTTTGGCTGCGTTGGGTCTTTCGTTGCTGTGCGCACGCTTTCTCTAGTTGCGGTGAGCGGGGGCTACTCTTCGTTGTGGCTTCTCATTGTCGTGGCTTC